GTGGTTTTCAAATCTGGTCAGGTACGAATGGAATTAAAAAAAAACAGGGTTATTCCCATCCTCAAGAAACCCATACTGGATCCCTCAGACATCAGCAACTACCGATGTTGTATGACTTCTCTCTTTTCTTTCAAAAATCCTTGAGTGCTCAGTTTACAATCAGCTGTCTATCTCTCTCAGAAGAACCTTCATGATCCTAACTAATCTGTCTTCAAAGTGGCACATTCCACGGACACTCTTGGTTGTCACTGAGAAGCTACATGCTGCCAGAGCAGCCACACTGTCACCTGTCCTTATCCTACTTGACCTTTCATCAGCATTTGACATGGTCAACCACAACACTCTCTTGTCCATCCTTATGAGTCTTGGAATTCAAAGCCAAAAGAAGTGACACGGATGGGATCCACATCTACTCCACGCAGACTCTCCACTGGCTCAGTTCTTGGTCCTCTTCTGTTCTCCCACTATACTAGATCTCTTGGTGAGGTCATATCTACACATGGGTTCTCTTATCATTGCTATGCAGACGACACTGAACTTCTCCTTTCCTTTTCTCCCTCAGACACTCAAGTCTCCACTTGGATCTCTGCATGTCTGGCAGACATGCAGTCACTACCTGTACCTTGGGGTAACCATGGACAATCTCCTGTCCTTTTCCTCTCACATTGCTAATCTTTCCCACTCATGTCGATTTCTCCTCTTCAACATCAGAAGGGTTCATCCATTCCTTTCCACACAGGTACTAATTCAGTCTTTTGTCATCTCGAGACTAGACTACTATAACTCACTTTTAGCTGGTCTGCCTCTCAGTGCCATTTGTCCTCTGCAACTGATCTAGAATGCTGCTGGCCGACTCGTTTTTAATCTTCCTAAGTTCTCCCACACCACACCACTGTTATGCTCCCTCCACTGGCTTCTTGTAGAGGAACTGGTCAGGACTTGTACGCCTTGCTATACCAATGGGAAGAATGGCAAATCTCCACTACTTCTGGTACAGCCATTGTCCCATCCTCTACACAACAGGAACATCTGAGGAGAGCTTTACAACATGCCATACCATTGAAGATATTTCATCATGGCATATGACCTCCATTCAAAAGGGCTTGAAGTTGCACCCACGGGTGCTGTCACTGCTGAAGCCATAATAAAGTCCCTGGATCAGCTATTTGCCTGATGGGGTGTGCTCAAGGCAATAACGACTGAAAATGGTCCACAATTTTTGTTTTCTTTATTCACATCCTACCTTGCGGCCAATGGCATTTACCTCATATCCGCTGCCTTCTACCATCCACAGGCTTATGGGTGTGTATAAAGGTTCACCCAGTCTCTGGAAAATGAACTACAAAAAAAAATCGCACCATCAAGTCGAAGTGGGCGTGGTACAGGATGTGACGTTTTGTTTCAAGACAGTGTTGGTGTAGTGATGTTAATAAGGAATATCGTTAATAATGAATAAGTCATAGATAGTATGCCTCTAATATATATATTTGAAAAACCCCTTTTTTTTGTACTTCGTAAGTAGTACTGGTGGGAGTAGCACACAGTAGAATAAATGCATATTGTAATATTAGCCTTGTAGCTCGGTAAGTTAGGTTAAAGCATACTAATTAGCGTTGTTATAAAATGCACTGTAATATGCTTTCTACCTTCGAGACCCATTTGAATGCTCACTGCCAGTCATGCAGCTTTTCTCCTGTTTACAAATACATTACATATTCTAGTAATCAACATTTAAAATGAATTGGTTGATCCACAGCCCACAGCTGCTGAAGCTGAAAGGTCAGCCCCACCACACCATACCTGATTGGTTGAGCAACGCAAATTCATGGGTCAAAATTCAATTAAGATGAACTCGGCGTGAAATTGCTCTGTATAATCGCTATGCTACTGGAAGTGAGGAATCATGGGTAATAATGGAAGTGAATGAGACGCAGTTTTTTTTTTGCATTTCTAAGCTGTCAGTCATAAATGTGTCTCATTGGCAGTGTTGGGGAGTAAGGAGTTACATGTAACGGTGTTGCATAATTTAATTACAAAAAAAATGTAATTGTAATCCGTTACAGTTACTAGAGAAAAAAGTGTAATTAAATTACAGTTACTTATGGAAATATTCATGATTACAATTTTAGTTACATCATAAGATTGTATGAAAAACCTTGCTAATATCTTTAAGAATTTTTATTGTTTTTCATGTTTTTCTTATGTAAAACATTTTTTGCTATTTCCCTCCACAGCCGAAAGTTTGAAACTATTTGATGCTTCTGATTGGTTATCCTGTCGTGTCTACATTTGCAGCCAATGAGCGGTCTGAGTTTCTGTTGCAGGTGTTATGCCGAAAAAGGCGTTCAGACGGAAACGAGTTCAGCTACTTTGTCGAGTTAGGTTACCGTAGTGCTACTCGATAGCCCTAACCCTAACCTTTACCCTAACCCTAATACCCAAAAAAACCCTAACCCCCAAAACACCCCTAAAACCCTAAACCCCAAAAAAACCCCTAAAAGCTCAACTTGTCAGGGATGCCTTTTTCGGCATAATACTGGCAATGGCATACAAGGAAAGGAATGCATTCCATTGCTGGAAATATAAAAAACATTTCCGATACATTACGGAAAAAGGCAGTGCGTGTTTACCGGCTGTAAAGATGTTGTCGACATTAACTAAACAGTCCATGTCCAACCTAAGGAAACATCTAGAGGTAAGTGCAGCTTACTGTAACTGCAAACAGTCATATTAAACAAGCTAGGCAAAGACATGCCTACCTTCAGCGTGCTACACCATGGTTCTAATGCTTTAATACTATCATCCCTGACATTCTCATCACCAAACTGGTCACTCTAGGCCTCCCCCCTCTCACATGTGTCTGGATAAAGGACTTTCTTACCAACCGACTCCAGACTGTGAGACTCGACCCCCACCTCTCCTCCATTCGCACACTGAACACCGGATCCCCACAAGGCTGTGTGTTGAGCCCCCTCCTATACTGTCTCTATACCCATGACTGTAGTTTGGCCCACAGTAACAACTTAATAGTCAAGTTTGCTGACGACACCACAGTGATTGGACTCATCTCAAAGGGAGACGAGGCAGCTTACAGAGAGGAGGTCCTGAAGGTGGTTGCCTGGTGTTCAAAGAACAATCTGGTTCTGAACACCAGGAAAACCAAGGAGATCATAGTCGACTTCAGGAGGCACAGCACCGAATTAGCCCCCCTCTACATCTATGGTGAGTGTGCGGAGAGGGTCCACACCTTCCGGTATCTCGGCATCCTTTTCTCCGCTGACATCTCCTGGACAGACATCATCACAGCAGTTACCAAGAAGGCTCAGCAGCGGTTACACTTCCTGAGAGTCCTCAGAAAGCACAACCTGGACTCCAACCTGCTACTGACCTTCAACCGCTCGTCCATCGAAAGCCTGCTGACGTACTGTATCACAGTATGGTATCACAGTATGGTATCACAGTATGGTATCACAGTATGGTACAGCAGCTGCACCATGGCGGACAGGGAGAGGCTCCAGAGAGTAGTAAAGGCAGCACAGAATATCATCGGCTGCCCTCTCCCCTCCCTGATGGATATTTACACCTCCCGCTGCCTCAGCAGAGCAAAAAGCATCGTCAAGGACAGCTCCCACCCTCAGGGAGGCGCTACAGGTGCATCACAGCAAGGACAAACAGACTCAAGAACAGTTTTTTCCCAAAAGCCACAGCCACCCTAAACACACACATGCACTGACTGGACAGTAGCTACTGTGCAATATCCAGTACCTAAATGGTATCGAGAACTGTGCAATACCGTACACTGTGCAATACCATACACTGTGCAATATGTTCCAACATAATCTTCCACATGATCATTATTACAATGTAATACACTACATATCACATTGGTATTCATATATTTAAAAACTCTATTCAGTTATTTATTTAGCGCTACAAAACTTCGCACTATTTGTTTATTGTTTATCACTTGTTTATTGTGTATTGTTTGTCGTGTGTACATGTTTGCACTGAAGGTGTTGCTCTTAATCTCACTATACATGTATAGTGACAATAAAAGGCATTCATTCATTCATTCATAAAGTGTAATGCCCGGTACACACTATCTGATTTCAGCAATCTTATAAAATCATTACCGATCACACTGTGCAATACGGATCTAATAATCTTGGTTATGACAGGTATGCAGACTGTAGGACGACAACACCAACTCAATCATAAGATACAGCGCATAGGACAACAAAACAAAATGTAAACACTGACAGCATGCGTAAACACCACAATGAATCGCGAAGTGTGTACCGCGCTTTAAAGCCACACTGGCACTTCTGATCCCGTTGACAGAAAGCGTGCCATCCTCCTTCAATATGCTAAGGCTATTGGTAATTTATGTTAGGTCTGATATTAGCACTCCCGACATGCTATGTCGTATTGAGTTTTGAAAATTCACTAACTAGCTATAACCCCTGGGCGATGCAGCCTTACCACTCTGCTAACCCATTTTATTGTACAGTGCTGCAAAGACACAGTTTTAGGCTACTCCGTGATTTGTGATTGAAAAATTGACTTAAACAAAGTAAGTGATTACACAATCAGCTGAAATTTCATATCCTGTCTGATGCAAGAACTGCTCAGATCAGAAGTAAAATGGAACCATTTATTTTCGCAAGTATATAAAATGTTTGTATCATAATGTAATCCTGAAACGTCACGGAGTGGTCAAATCACTCATAGTTTATCTTGTTTTGACTCCCAGAAAGTTTATTGTTATACCGCGAAGCCGGGCATTGAGGGAACAGGATTTATTCAAGGCAGACAGGGGAGCTCACAGCGAACAACGTCAATGACAGACCTGGGGAAACTAACTGAGACGCGGACTAAATACACAAGACAGGTTGAACATAACAGGCAACAGGTGATTACAATCGGGAAGTAACACGAGGTAACGAGGGGGGCGTGGCACACACGAGGACTGGACAAGCAGGTCATGACAGAACCCCCCCCTAAGACACGCATGCCCCAAAGGGAACGGCGGACAGGACGAGACCGGGAACAAGACGAACCTGGAAAACAAGACAACACCATAACCGGGGCACAGGGAACAGAACAGAAACACAGGACAAGCACAGGGGCAGAAACCAAGACAAGATCTGACACAGAACGGGAAACCCGGACAGACAGGCCAGGAAGGGAGGCACAGGGGGAACACCGACAGGCGGAACAAAAGAGCCAGGAGTGAATGAAGGAACCAGAGGGGGACGAGGAGCAGAGACAGGAGGGACAAAGGGACGAGGAGCAGACAAGGGAGGCCAAACAGGAACGGATGGGGGACAAAGGAGAGCCCGAGGGAGCCAAGGCGGGCAATGGGCGGCGGCCGGAGGGGTCGCAGGCAACAGGGAGGCAGGAGCAGTAGGGGACCATGCAGGGGGCAAGGAGACAGGTCGAGGGACAGACGAAGGGGACAAGAAGGGAGTCGGAGGGGGCACCAACGAAGGAAAGGAGGAGGGGGAAGCCACAGCAGGCGACGGCGCTGTCCAACGACGCGCCGGAGCAGGGGGACCCACAGGCGACTGACGAGGAGTCGGAGGCGGGACCGAGGCCAGGCGACGAGGCGTCGGAGGGGGACCCGCAGGCGACGGCCGACACGGAGCCTCAGGACCCGCAGGCACCCCATGAGCCCCAGCCAAGGCAAGCGAGGGCGAGCCAGGGGGCAGGGCGGGCGGGACCCTGGCCCTGCGCTTGAGTCCCCTTCCCTTACGGGACACTGAAAGGCGGGGTCTTCGTGGGTGCTGACCTCGCTGGGGCAAGGGTAATGGAGTCAGTAGGGAGATCCCCGAGGGATCCCATTCGAGCTCCTCCTCCAAGGAGGAAGGAGCGGTGGGCAGATTGTCTGGGACCTCCTCGGGGACTGGGACCAGGGCTGTGGGAATTGGAGCAGGGACCGGGATTGGCAGAGACTGGGCCAGCGAGAGCAGAGCCTGAACAACAGGCGCAGGCAGCACCTGAGCAGGAGCCTGGGCCTCGGGCGAAGCAGGAGGCGGAGGCCTAGGAGCCTCGGGTGGAGCAGGAGGCGGAGGCTTAGGAGCCTTGGGCGGAGCAGGAGGCGATACAGCAGGCGTAGCTGCAGGCAGAGCAGTAGGCGGAGCCGGCGACACGGGCAGGACAGGCAGAGCCATAGCAGGAGCCTCGGGCGCAGCCAGAGGCGGGGCCGCAGCAGCAGCCTCCTCGAGCAGAGCAGTGGCACCAAGTGGGGCCACAGCAGGGGCCGCCGTGGGCGTAGCAGCAGCAGCAGGCAGGCGGAGGCTGGGCTGTAAGTGGTGCCGGGACCTCGGGCGTAGCTGCAAGCGGAGGCAGCGCCGGGACCTTGGGCGTAGCGGCAGGCGGTGCCTCAACAGGCACCGCTGCAGCAGGAACCACCACAGCAGGAAACTCGGGCGTGTAGCCAGCAGGGGGCGCTGCAGACTCGTGGCCAGCAGGGGGCGCTGCAGCAGCCGGAGCTTCACTGGCCGGCACAGCAGCCACCAGAACAAGCAGGACAGGTGGCGCCGGTGAGTCAGACGGGACGGGCAGGACAGGTGGCGCCGGTGAGTCAGACATAACAGAAACCGCGGGGGGTGAAGACGGAGACTGCACCCCAGCCACGGGCGCCATCCTCCTAGAGAGTTGAGGGACCCGCGGGATGGCATCCCCAACTGACCTGGCCCCTTTAAGAGACAGGCGCGTCCCTAGAAAGGAGCGAGCTGCTGGCTTGGGGAAGGAAGCGGCAGCGATGCAGGCGTCCGGTATCTGCTTGCGCGTAGCAGCGGTGGCGACCTCAGGGCTGAACACTGCAGGGTCCAGCATCGAGAGGGGTTCCTCCCGATCTCCAGCGGGGAGAGAGCATGCCCCCAGGAAGATCGTCGGCACTTCTTCCGGTCTTCTCTCTCTCTGCTTCTTCTTTCTCCGGCGGGTGGCTGTCGGCGGAAGTTGCTCAGTCTCTGGGAGAACGGACGGCAGATCGGCAACCCTTGCGCCTTGCAGCGCGGCTAGCTGGGCTCTCCCCTCTTTCACGCCTGCACCAAGAGCCGGAGATTCTCGTGCACTTCTTTCATGGCGTGCGCGCTTCTGGACAGGGACATCTCGCACAAGATGTCTCCGCTCCGCCTGGGCAGTGCCAACGCCTCGGGGTCCTCCTGGACTTCGGGTTGGTTTAGCCAGTAAAGCACCTCCTGGAGCAATCCAATGCGTTGCCGCTCAGATCGCGGAGGTGAGTCTTCCTTGTGGAGGTCTGTCATTCTGTTATACCGCAAAGCAGGGCGTTCAGGCAAACAGGTGATAGAGCCGTGAGTACGAGGGAACACGATTTATTCAAGGCAGATAGGGGAGCTCACAGCGAACAACATCAATGACAGACCTGGGGAAACTAACTCAGACGTGGACTAAATACACAAGACAGGTTGAACATAACAGGCAACAGGTGATTACAATCGGGAAGTAACACGAGGTAATGAGGGGGGCGTGGCACACACGAGGACTGGACAAGCAGGTCATGACATTTATATTATGAACACACATTAGAATTTAATAACTGAAGGCTGAGTTTTAACATTTTTTTTACATTTTAGGTATATTTTATGTAACATTAATGTTATGACTTGTTACACTGTGGGAATCTTGGTTTTCACTGAGTATGAAGTGAGGATCTATCTTACCTGTTTTGTAAAATCATTATTAGGCCTATATGGTCTTCCTGTCTCTTTCAAAACTGCTGCTATCACCCCAATATTGAAAAAAACAGGTCTTGATCCTAATAATTTTGATAATTTCAGCCCTATTTCAAATTTACCATTCCTTTCAAAAATTCTTGAAAAAATAGTTGCAACAGAGATCCATTCTCACTTAACTAATAATAATTTGTATGAACAGTTTCAGTCTGGTTTTCGCCCCCTCCATAGCACTGAAACAGCCCTCATAAAAATAACCAATGACCTTCTTATGGCAGCTGACTCTGGTTTTCTTACCATTCTTATTCTTCTTGATCTGAGTGCAGCCTTCGATACTATCTCTCACTCTGTTCTCCTTAGTAGGTTAATCTCCATTGGTCTCTCTGATACACCATTACACTGGTTTAAATCATATTTGTCTGACCGCACTCAGTTTATCCAGCTTAAATCATTCACTTCTCAGCCTTCTCCTGTTGTCACTGGTGTGCCCCAGGGATCTGTCCTGGGGCCCCTTCTCTTCATTATCTACCTTCTTCCTCTTGGTCATATTTTCCGTAAGTATAATATTCATTTTCACTGTTATGCCGATGACACCCAGCTTTATTTGTCCACTAAACCTGATTCCACTCTTCCTCCACCTTCCCATAGCCTCTGTTTAGCTGAACTTAAATCTTGGTTTTCTTCAAACTTTCTTAAACTTAATAGTAATAAAACAGAGTTTCTTCTGGCAGGCTCTAAATCAACACTATCCAAAATTGATCGTTTTCCTATTACTATAGATAACTCTTTGGTTTCCGCATCCCCATATGTGAAAACTCTTGGTGTCATCCTTGACAGCACTTTATCTTTTAATTCACATCTCAATAATATCACTCGGTCCACATATTTTCATCTGCACAACATTAATCGTCTCCGTTCCTCTCTCACCCCACAAGCCACCGCCATTCTTGTCCATAGCCTTGTCACTTCCCGGATCGATTACTGTAATTCACTTTTATTTGGTCTCCCTAAAAAATCCATCCATAAGCTACAACTTGTCCAGAACTCTGCTGCTCGTATTATCACCAGGACCCCTTCTATCCACCACATCACCCCTGTTCTGCAGCAGCTTCACTGGCTCCCGGTTAAACATCGCATCTACTTCAAAATCCTTCTGTATACATTTAAGGCCATCCACCACCTCTCCCCTCCATATTTGTCTGATTTGGTTCAGGTCGCCACTCCATCTCGTTGCCTCAGATCCTCTTCCTCTCTTCTTCTCTCTGTCCCTTCCCACCGTCTTGCCACCATGGGGAGCAGAGCTTTCTGCTGCTCTGCTCCCCGGCTTTGGAATTCGCTTCCTCCTGACATTAGAAACATTACTTCTCTTCCTCTTTTTAAATCTAGACTCAAAACTCACTTGTTTAAAATTGCTTATTCAACATAACCTTTTTTTTATTCTGTCTTTTTAATTTGGATTGTTTTATATAGATTTTGTAAATTGTTTGCTTTTATGTTTGTTCCTCTTATCATTTGTTGTGTACAGTGTCCTTGAGTGTCTTGAAAGGCGCTTTTAAATAAAATGTATTATTATTATTATTATTATTATTATGGTATGTTTGGTATCTTTATTAAATTCATCAAGTATAATCATGTTAATTCATGTATTGAAAGGAGTTTGACAGTAGTCAGTGTTTAGTACTGCTGTAAGGTAAACACTACCAGGTTTCAAAATTTCAAAATGGTTAATGGTGGAGAATATTCATTCATAATTTAGAAAAGTAATCAAAAAGTAATCAAATACATTACATTACTTTCATATAGTAATTGAAGTAGTTACACTACTATTACATTTTAAATAGAGTAACTTGTAATTGTAATGAATTACATTTCCTAAGTAATCTTCCCAACACTGCTCACTGGGCTAGGATTTCTTGGCCTCACAGACAAAACAAGCTATGCCCATTTTTGTCCCACCAATGTCAAGTCAAGTCCACCTGTTACCGCTGAAAATGACATTGTGCTTGTCATCCAAAGTCCGCTCCCACCATGGAGTCCCTACACTGAGTATCCCAGGCCTACAGGGCACAACACCTGCTACCACTAAAAGACCTTGATCCACTGCAACCAACTCTCAGCCCCCCGAGGCTATATCCCTTGCGTTGGAGACCTGGGCAGCAAGGGCATGTTTACACCCTGCACATTTTTGGGACTTATCCACTTAATTTTCCAGTGTGTGGGGGTGGGGGGTTCTGTGTTTGTTTCATAATAAGATGTTCCATTTGTTTGCACTATAGGAGTTTAGTGTTTTGGTATTGAGAGATTACTGTAATGGTTGTGTGCTCTGGAGAGATAACTGACGTCTTTGTAAACATTTTTATTGTTGTTTCATTCTTTTTTTTTTCATTGTCACACCTTGAGTAAGACTTCTAAACAAAACAATTGTAGGGGTGCTGAACACTGACTGACCCTGTGATCTAATCCCAAAATTTACTCTCACCTGTGTTTCTCTGGAGACCAAGATGGGCAATGTAAAAAAAGGAAATTTCCGACACAAGGATCAAGATAGTTTAACAGTAATAATTATTCTAAGAGGTTGGCTAACTAATTAGATAGCTATTGGTAGATTACTATGTAAAATAAATTTAGATTTTTCCTTTCCAGATGTTAGTAAAAATTGTAAGTCATGCCAACCACCTAAGTAATTGGCAATTTGCAAAATTTGTATTCCGCAGTGTGCTTCTTTTTACTGGATGGGTTGCACTGAAGCTCCTATTGGTTTATGCATGCTAAATGGATAATGGCTGACTTGACAGAAATTTGAGGATGTGAGTTATCTGTATGGCTGCATGCACAATGTCCATAAAACATTAAAGCTAATATAAGACTTTGGGGGGTGGATGGCACAGCTGCATACAGGCTACAGTTAGGCTATGGAGTTAGATGGAGTCAGTAAGGCTTTTAGAGTCACAAGTTTTCGAGTCCGAGTCAAGACCGAGGAAAAATTCACCCGAGTACGTGACAAGAGTAGGTACATTCGTATGTGGACTCAAGAATGACCTGGAACACCGCACCCTGGTTAGAAGCACACAGATATGCCTTCCATACACTCACCACTTCTCCCTTACTGCCCCCCCCCCTATATTTTGGCCACACCTGGCATAGATGAAGTGGGTATTATACCTGCTTTGTTCTTCTTTAAACTTATCTGCTCTTCTCACCTAAGGTTTCTTCTCACGTCTCTGTAGCTGGATGCGTTCATTATTTTCCTCATGCTGCTCCATTACTGCAATATAGTTGCTGTCTTGCACAAACTGTCACCTTAATCAAAATCTTTTCTTCCGCATTTAAACCCCAATATCAAGATTCAAATTCTATTTTGTCACTGATCTGTGCTTGCAAAGTGATTTACCAGTAGCTGGAAAAGCTCCTTTGTGGTGTTTAAGATGCGATTAATGATTGTGTGAAATAGCAGGTCGACTATTGAGGAAGCAGGCCCTCAAGTGAAGCACATTTTTATGCAGAGCTGTGTGCTTCTAGCAAGGAGAAGACACAGGGAGGAGAGGAGGAGAGTAAGAGGAGGAGGCAGACTTTTCAGGGCATGTAGTTCATACTGCCCTCGCTTTCAGTTGGAGCCATCTAGAGGTGCTTCTGGTAACCTTTCCAACAGACAAATCCACCCAAAAGCCACACTTCGAGCTGATACCCACACAGAACCATAACCCACATTCATGCTAAGAGGACAACTGGCAGGTCACCTGACCTGCTCCTCTCTGGCATCCACCAATAAGCAGAGGAGAAGCAGCGTAGGACCCAAAATTTACATTACGGATGAGATCCATGTCCATTGTGTTACCTGGGGACTTGTTAAAAATGACTGAAACTGAATAACCTGAGTGAAAGAGATAAACTTGGCATATACAGCTAAAATGTAAAGCTGATATGTCAGTTAACTGCATTTACTTTTTAACTCAGATGGGTCATGCCTGTTACTGTGAAGGACCAGTGACTGTGCTGTACTCTAATAAACCTGAGAGCTCTTCACGCACCCCCTTCAAAACAACTGGACCCTTTGCTTATGCCAAATGTGACTGGAGAATAAATACATTTCTTTATTTGGCCATTCCACATCAATGGAAAATGTGACATACATGTGCACCA